CCTGTAGTCTTAGCTACTCTGGAGGCTGAGGCAGGAGGATCACTTAAGGCCAGGAGTTGGAGGCTGCGATGACCTATGATTGAGCCACTGCACTTCAGCCTGGGCAAAAGAGCAAGACCCCATCTCTGAAGAACAAATAAAAGAGTTTGTGACCAAACAAAATGCAGACAGGGTCTCACTATGTTGCCCAGGCTGGTCTCGAACTCCTAAAAAAATAATAATAAAAATATAAAAAATAAAATCACCATTAGGCAAACACCACAATAGTAACTGTTGCAGACAAGATCCACTAATGGATGCTAAATTAGTAGATGAAAATTTGTGGAAAAACAGGATTTGCATAGATTCAAAGTGTCTCACACAAAATACATTTTAGCACAGAGGGAAAGATAGTAACTTTATAGTGGTGAAACTCCCAGAATCCACCTTAACCAAGTGAGTAATGTAATCATCAGTAATAAGGCATGTTTACATTATGAACCCCTTGATATTTTGCACTGAGGACATAAAATCATTTCTGTGGTATTCTTGACATAAATGCTTAACCTCAGTCCAATCATGAGAAAACATCAATCTCAAATTGTGAGACTTACCACAAAATAATTGATCAGTATTCTTCAAAACTATCAAGGTCATGAAAGAAAAGGAAAGACCTAGGAACGCTTACAGACTGATAGACTATGGAGAAATAACAAGTAATACAATGTGGAAGCCTAGAAAGGAACCTGGAACAGAAAAGGAACATCAATGGGAAAGCTGATGACATTTGTATAAAGTCTTTAGTTCATTGTCTTGCACTATTACTAATTTCCTTGTTTTAATAATTCTATGGTTATGTAAGATTTTAACATTGGGGAAGCTGAGTAAGGACTATAAAGGAAAATTTCAACCATTTTTGCATCTTTTCTGTAAGTCTAAAATTAGTTCAAAATAAAGTTTTTTCAGAAGGGTGGTCTTTAGAGAAAAAAAATTGAGTTTTTTCATTCCACTTAACTTCTTTTTTTTTTTTTTTTTTGAGACAGAGTCTCATTGTGTTCCCCGGGCTAGAGTGCCGTGGCGTCATCCTAGCTCACAGCAACCTCAAACTCCTGGGCTCAAGCGATCCTCCTGCCTCAGCCTCCTGAGTAGCTGGGACTACAGGCATGTGCCACCATGCCCGGCTAGTTTTTTCTATATATTTTTAGTTGTCCAATTAATTTCTTTCTATTTTTAGTAGATACGGGGGTCTCGCTCTTGCTC